TCAGAGTTTACCTTGCCATAGTTGCTCTGCTTTTGTACATTTTTACGAAAATTTCGGTATGAGTTCATTCTTAACTAACGTTTTAAGGCTGACTTGTACGCTGGTGGCGTGTTTATTCAACAATCAATGGAGATCTCAATGTACCCGGCTGTCATTATGCTATTGATTATATCCGCATTGTTCACGATCATGGGTGAGCGCTTATTAAAAGCTTATTTATTTTTTATTAAAGACGTGTTTGTCAAAAATATTCAGAACTATTTTTTAACCTTCAGGTGGTCTCACTGCTGTCATTTGGACCGACTTCGCGCAGACCGTCATAATGATTATAGGTGCTTTCTACCTTATGATCCGAAGTAAGTGGAAGTTGTGCTATTTCTTAAAACAATATTTATGTAACTTCATTCGATAGAGTACAAAACAATTAGAATGTATTCAATTTCATCGCTGGCTATTGCATTCAAGTCCTGCGCTTGTTGTCTTTCCTCTTTTGAGTAGCCATCATTCATGCGTCAACATTATCACTGCAATGAATTAGACTGCTAACCTTGTTTTTGACCATTTCGGATCAGAAGTATGAAAGTTAAAATTGCTAGCCTAGATAAAGATATCGCTCAGAATAATATTTAAGCGTCCGAAACTTGTGAGGGTTAGCCGTAAGTATTAAGTGCATATCTATTTTCGACATCAATAATGCCCTTTAGATAATAAACTGACCAGAAATCCATTATTATTTTCCTAACTGTGATTATTTAGGCTTCCAAGTGACTGGAGGATTTGACGGAATGGTCCTTAATTACTTCAACGGCATCCCGAATACGACCCGCGCTTACCAGAGCACTCCGTTCAAAACACAAAACCCAACAGCTTTCTCACCAGATCTTTATGGGACTGACACGGATCGTAATGCCGTCCTAGCTTTAGCGGATCCTTCTTATCGAAATCAGGGTATATATGCCGAGTGCAGTATTGCGCCTTCGGATGCAATGAATCTTTTCAAAACAATTACTAGCACTGATCTCCCATGGGTTGGTGCCATTTTTGGTCTGACAGTCAATGCAACATGGTACTGGTGTACGGATCAGGTAATTACATACCCTCCGCACTACTTCAGTTGTTTTTTTTAGAGATAGCTAATTTTATCCTTAATACATTTTAGGTCATTGTCCAGCGAGTCTTGGCCGCTAAAAACTTGACACATGCAAGGGCTGGAATTATATTGGCTTGTCTAATTAAAATGATGCCTTTGTGGTTAATGGTCGTGCCTGGAATGGTCGCTCGTATTCTCTTTGCTGGTATGTCCGTGTTAAGACGAAGATTTTTGTCATCAAAATTGGGGTTATGATTACTTTATATTTTTAAATATCCTTTTTGAATTACAGATACGGTAATGTGTGGTTCGGCTCCCCTTTGTGCGAAAATTTGTGGTAAATCAGTTGGTTGCTCTGACATTGCTTATCCCTCTTTGGTCCTCAACCTTCTTCCTTCGGGCGCTCGAGGCCTCATGCTTGCTGTAATGATTGCATCCTTGGTGTCAAGCTTGACGAGTATTTTTAATTCTACATCAACAATTTTCACTGTGGATATCTGGAAATTAATTCGTAAAAGGGCAAAAGATTCTGAAATTATGATCGTTGGCCGGTAAGTTTCCGCTTATCAAATCTCCAGTATTTAATAATAAGCGTGTTTATCTGACCAAACAATGTGGAATTTTTTAACATCGCTTGCTCATTTTCTAATATTTCTTAGACTAGAAATATGTTTACCAATCGCTAAATTATTTTACAAACCATTTTATAGTGTTGTCGTCATCATTTTGGTCGGTATCGGTATTGCCTGGATCCCTATTGTGCAACTCAGCGATGAACTTTTCGACTACATTCAATCAGTCACCGCTTACCTCGCACCCCCAATTTGTGCTGTCTACGTATTTGGCATTTTCTGGAAACGGTCAAACGAAATTGTTGGTCTTATTTTATTTAGTAATAATACACATTTTTTAGTCTTCTTTATTGCTAATATCTACTAATTTCACACTTTCTTATTCTAGGCGTCTTTCACGGCCCTTATTTGTGGACTCATTATCGGCATGATCCGATTTATCTGGGAAATGTCATACGGAAAGACCCCATGTGGTGAAATTTCAACGAATCCGCCTCATTTTCTCATCCAAGTACACTACCTCCACTTTTCAATTCTGCTTTTCGGCATCTCCAGCATCATAATTGTGTCTGTTTCGCTTGTCACACCTCCACTTCCGTCTCGCTTTGTAAGTATTTTTGCACTAGTTTGAGTAAAATAGTACATATATGTATATAATACCAAAAACGGAAGACATTAATTATAATCACTTTCCCCTTTAGACTCGAAGAATGGTGTTCTCTGAGCGCTGGACTGAGTTCGATCCAGAATTGGATGGCCCTAAGTTGACTATAGTCTCTGCAGCCGAAAAAGAGGCCTGGATCGAAGGTAATCTATGACTTTTCTCTCGAAACCCATTAATTCCTCTATTTTTTTGTTTGAGTGAAGTGTAATTAGTCCGGAGCCACAGAATCCCCAGGGCAGCATACAGGACCTGAATGTTGATTGTAAAAACTTGACCAGAACTGCATCGAGATAACCGCGATTTGCACAATATCCTGTCTAAGCACAGAATACATAAGAATACCGCAGAGCCAGACCAGTTTCGATTTTGCAGTAAGGTCATGAAAGCAGGTATTTGACGGCTGAATTACAACTGGTCCAAAATTTTCTTTAATTATTTGTCTTGTGATGCAACCGAATTCCCAAATAATATGAACCATGTCTGACGGGCTTTAATTCGAATCCGTCTCAGTAATGCCTCTGAATTGCCCTTTCATCGTCTTTTTTCGATGTTTTATTAAAATTGCTTTGAGAAAGTAACGTGCTATTTTGATTTTTTTACAGAGGGTGAAGCTGAAAAGCCCCAGCTGTCCTGTTGCAAGAAGACGATCAACTGGCTCTGCGGTATTGAGAAGATGCAGGACTCCCGTGAACCTGTTTATACTGAGGAAGAGGCTGATGAAATAATGGAAAACACTCGAAGACAACTTAGTCTCTTCCAGAAGCCAATAGAAGCTTGGGGAGTTAACATTGGCATAGCTATTGCCATGGGTATCACTGTCTTCATTTGGGGCTTCTTTGCATAACTGTTAACAGTGTTTTTTTGTATGTGTACAGCAAATTGCTGTCCAATTCAGCCTATTGTGATAATAAAATATTTTTTGTCATAAACCCCTTCATTTTTTGGGACGTAGGCGGAAATACTTAGCAGACATACTCATTAAAAAGGGCAGTGGTTTTACTACCTAATTCCTTGGGTCTTGTTTCCTTATATATATACATATATTAACATAGGTGAAGATACGAGGTCCAGATAAATTATCCCGATCATCATCCCCCAAAGAAGGCGAAGAAGAAAACAAGACGCTATCGTGGACCACACTGTAATTGATAGTGATAGTTTATCCTCACGATCGACTGCAAGTTGGTGTTCATGCAGTCTTGTGCAGAGGCGTTTACCCGTTTCACCAACATACCTTGCACTGCAATTTTCGCGAGGATAAACTGTCACTGGTATACTGCCACATTGACCGAGAGAAGCATAAGTTCGCTTTCGAAAACGCCAAAGTCATTGGACTATCCAACGACAAGATGACCAGATTGATGCTTGAAAGTTGGGCATCCGTGGGC